TTATATAAATCATGAATAAATACCTTTAATATATTAGCAATTGTTTGTATATGGTAGTTTTCTTTCTATTGCAGGCCTAAAACCCAGCTAGGCGACTGACACGTCAAGTTTTTTTTGAAGAGTTTGGACTATGATACATTTAGGTTAGTCGAGGATAAGTTCTGCGGTCTCAAATTTTAAGCAAAACACTAGTCAAAATTTCTAGGTACGTGCAAAGGTGTGATCTTATATTACTATTCTATTCTATAATGTATTCAATGATCTTGATATATCCAAAATCAGAACTCTTGAGCCTAAACAAACTTGCAACCAAAACGGTCATTCCACTATGTAGTTATGTAACTTTGTATATATTTTTAATTTACAACCAAACCCAGCCTTAACCTTGTTTGTTATGACGCAGCATGTAGTTCCTAATCATTATTTACGCCATCACTTGTTTCAATATGGTTACGGTGATATGAAGTAACCGGAAAATTGAAGGCTCAAATATAGCGTCTGATACAGTCGAGGCGTGGTTAGGTTTTGGTCCAATTATTATATGTAACAATGGTTAGTAAGAGTCAGTTTAAACCTGTCGTAGCTTGAGTTTGCGACTTATTGACTTCTTTATTATTACCGTCTGGTCGATTATTATTCCTTAATGTTTCGAAAGTTTTCTGAGTAAGATAACGATATGACTTTCGAAAAGGCGAGGAGTAATTGATAACGGGATAATAGCCCGAAAACCGACAACCCGAGACTCAGCTTACATTGATAAAGTATAAAGAAAATGCTCAAATAAAACGATAACCGTTTCTGTGGGGATTACACGGGTTTTAAAGCTGAAAATTGCAATTAAGAATAGGCCTTTGCGTAATACTAACACATTCGGAATCGATCAGTTTGGTTGTAATGTAGCTGTAAGGCCTTTGGAAATTATTAGGCAATTATATATGGCCCAATTTCGGGGCATTGTTGACAAACTCATAATATTACAGTGTCTTATTTATTAAATACGTGTCGCCTGTTTTTTTATTAAAACATTTTCTGATTTTATGCACATTGTCAGTAATTTTTGAGTAGTGGTAATTTTTATACATATAAAAAAAAAAACATGTACCTATCTAGTTGTGACTGTGAGGCCAAACCTGATATACATGATACATATAATTTTAGGAAGAAATCAATAAGAAGGTTGCCGTTTTGTAAAGATTTTGTATTCATGTTTTTTAAGTCGATCTAAGAAGTAAAAAAATTAAACAATACAATACGTTTCTATGTAGCAACATCGCATGTGCAGTAGATGACCTATTACCCTTAAAGAAAATTAAAAAGGTATGCTTTTTTCAATTGGAATATCTTCAAAATTAGAGTTTATTTGAATTACTAAATATAAACTTGTAGGTACTGTGACCTATAATTTAATATAGATTATTATTATCATCATTTCTGTCTAAAAGGCAAAACATTTTTTTTTTCAGTGTAGGAAAGAAAAGTAATAATTACCAAAATTGAATGGTTTTATTTCAGAACAAGAACGAATGGAAAAATAACATTTAGCAAAGTAACAAGTTGTGTTTAAACTTAACATATGTTCCGAAGTTACCTACTTAATATAACGCATATTTTCAGTTTAGTAAAACATATCAAAAAGTTTTTTTTGACCCGAAGGACCATTTTTTGAAGTACATTCTCCAAATTTAAAAAAAAAGTTATTGGACTGTTTATTCTTATTTTCGTCTTTATTGTCTTCTTTTTCGTCAGTAGTGTTCAACAAAAATGAATTAATCGGAGAACATACGTAGTTTTCTAAAATTTATAAAAATAATATAGAAATTTTAAAGTTTTTGGAAATATTAATTATTGACAATTACCATTTCCAGTATCCATGTAATTTTGCACGTCAATACCTGAAACTGTAAAGTCATGTAAGGAATATTTGTTACAATTTATTGTGATTTATTACCGTTTAATTGATTTGGGGCATCTCCAAATTGAAAGCGCGGAATTTCATTTGGTCTATCGAATTGACCAAAAGTAGAAGAATTATTAGCATTTTCGTATCTGAAGCTTGGTTCAATACTAAATGAATTATTCAAGGACTAAAACGAAATATATTTAATAACCTGCAGTAAAATATACATGTTCATGTTTATTAAACCACGATGAATTCACTTAAATTAAAATTCGAAGCCATTTAGGATAAATAACTTTTTTAAGAAAAGAAAACCAACTTAAAATTAAGATCTCAAAAATTATTGCGTAAAATTTTCAACAGAAAATAGTTTGTGTGCAGATATGTATAAGATATTTGATAAAAATAAAAACGCATTTAAATATTGTAGGAATATAATTCATTTTAATTCTACAACTGTAACAGGTTATTACCAAAATAAATAATATCCTGTTACCTTTCTCAAGAAAAGGTGTAATTTTACCGAAACAATTGTAGAGTTATAATAAACTCTATTCCTGATACATTTACATGTGTTTTTATCTATTGTTATCAAATATTTAAAAACTGTTTCATTAAAAATGTGTGTAAGAGATGTACCATAATGCGACACTACAAATTATTTACATTATTTTCTACGAAGTGTTTTTTTAATTACTCGAATTAAATGTGTTAATTTCCATAAATTCCATAAAATTAAATTTGATTAATAAAATAAAAAAATATTCTGCTTACTCTGCCATAATTGTCTTCATTACATACAAAAGATTGACTTTCTGTCCCTTGATCTTCGCAGTGTACTTCGTTGTTTTCCTTATCTTCGTCAGTATTATCTTTTCTGCTTCCTGATAGTAATTTAAACTGAATCATCTCAGGAGTTAGGCCAGTTTGATTATCTTTGAGTTGATTTGTCACAGATTCTTGTGAAAATAACAAATCTTGACTATTTATTGGTTCTTGTTCAGCATTATTTGTCGATTTTTGAAAAGAAAATATGTTTTTATTTGATTCCCTTCTTAATGGACGAGTCGCATCTTTATTCATGCCGGCCAAAGAGCTGGTTTTTGGTCTGTTGTTATCAAATTTAATTTTTGGATCCATAAATTGTCCACGTTCATTATTAGAATTGTAAGAAGTAAGTGGGATATGTTGAGTTTTCTGAACGAACGTATCATTATTTGTGCTTTGATTTTTGTTAGGATTTGTGTTGTTGAATGTAACAGGAGATGGAGGAATTACTGTAACATCGATAACTTTCACCTTTCCATGACTTTTATTATTGAATGTTTTCATTGAGTCATGCCCTTGGCTATTCTGGTTTTGAATTTTTTGAGAAGTACCTTGAGATAGGTTTTGAAAATATGGACTCGCGTCAAACTGATGCTTTTGTAAACTGTTCACTAAACGTTTATTTTCACCTTGTTCAGCAGGTGCGTTAAGTTTTCGCTTTTTTATTCCGTCGATAATACCTTTATGATTTGATTCTGAAATATTATATTTTCTGTAAATATTTACTTAACNTGTAACTGCAAATTACAAATTGTAATTAAACCAGCTTTAGATACAACAAATCTATGTATTATTGGAAAGTTATTAATTTATGCTAAAAGATGCATTTTAAGATGTGAAATTCTAATTATTTAAATTTCTTAGTTTATATTTTTGTTTTGTAGTATATCACCAGAAGCAGAACTGAGGCATCGTCAGAGGGCAGAGCGCAAAGAGACGTTGGCAGCGAAGGTGCGCGAAATGAAGAGACGGCAGCAGGCCAACGAACAGTGGACGCGACTCAAGAGGTCTCTATTCAAGCCATTTGTTATTGTCGGCATTGTGTCCGCACTCGGCGGCGGCTTGTTGGCCTATTTTTATTATAAAAGTTGAACCGGCGAATGTTCAGTAATCAAGTAACAAAAAAAAAAGTATATGGTAACACTAAACATGAATACGCTAAAAGCATTTAGTATTTTTGGTTAATCATCCATTAACGCGAACGTAAATAAGTAATTAGTGCCGAACGGGGAAATATTTTGCCTATATTACTATAGCAGATATTGACTGAGTATGTGATAGTAAGTTAATGGTATTAACATTATTTTTTTTAAGTCACAAAATATATAGTACATCCCAACTCGTAAATCAAAATATTTTTTATTTATGAAATCGAAGACAAGATTTTTGACTAGAAGTACTTAATCTTAATTTTTCGTAAAAAAATGCACTACAGTTTAGTTTTCTAGAAATGATGAAATTTATTTTTGGTTGAAAATTATTGCTGTATAAAGAAGTTTTTATTAACAAGAAGCTGAAATTTATTAACGTTAATTAATATGTAAAAGGTTTTTTCTTATTTTTTAAGAAAATGATGGTAAAATTAAAAGACACATGTTTTTTTCATTAGAGTACATAAAAAATTAATAAGTTTTACATTAACTTATGATCATCATCAGAGAGTCGTTAGTCAAAACTTATTGGACACGCACTCCTGTATCTGTTTACGGCATGTCTCGAACTAGCTCTTCATGTGTCAGAAGGTGTCCCATCATCCTACCTCCGGAAGAAGACGAGCCTCCGC